TGAAACAGGACATCCTGGAACGTAAAAGCAAACAAACCAAAAAACCCCGCCCACTGCTATTGAGTTGATGTTGCCTCACAGCGACCCTATAGCACAGGGTAGAACTGCCCTGTGAGTTGCTGAGACAGTAACTCTTTAGTTTAGAAAGCCTCTTCTTTCTACCGAGGAGCAGCTGGTGGTTTTGAACTGTGGACCTTGAGGTTAGCAGCCCAATGAATAACCACTATGCCACCAGGGTTCCTTGGCAGATATGAGGGGGCTTCAAAAATGTGTGGAAACACTGTTTTATCTTTTCATTTAATTATTCCATGAATGTTTTGAAGCCCTCATAATGAATCCCAGAGTGAAGAAGGCCACCCTTCCGTTGCTGGAGCGTGTGTGTCTCCTAGTAGATAGTAGGTATACCCCACCCCCACCGCACAGGGGAGGGGGAAAGTAAAGAACTGGAACAGAGTTGAGAGTGAAGCTCCAGGGGCTCACACCTGAGGGGGTCCAGACAACCAGAAGGAGTTTGGGGTTTGGGCCAGAATTTAGGACCTTGGAGAAAGAAGAGAGCAGGAGGCTGGGCTGAGGATTGGGGCACCAAACCAGGGGAGCTGGAGCAGCTCAGAGCTAGAGTGTGGGAAGACACCATGCACCAGGCTCCTCCCCTCCTCACCCTAAGAACCGCCTGGGGCACTTGCTGATTGTAGATGGTGGTGGAGGCAATCTGAAAGTGGGGGGGCAGGCACCTGATTTTATAACAGGCATCCCCCTCCCGGTGATTCTCATGCAGGGCACAAAGAAAGGTAACCTTGACCTGAAACCACCTTGGGGGTGTCTGGGGGTTTCTCTGAGCCTTCAGGGTAGGGGCCTGAGCTACCTCCAAGTTCGTTTTGCCATTGCCTGTCCCCAGGCTGCCAGAAACTGGCAATGCTTTGAGGTCATGGCAGTTGTGCCAATAAAAAGTATGTATCATGACACCATCAGGAGCCAACATTTCCTGAGCACCTCCTCATGCTCACAGCACCCAGGTTTATCCTTAAAAATAGATTGGTTGGGCGCAGGGGGACACATAACAGAAACGTGGGTGAAGGGAGACAATGGACAGTGTAAGACACGAAATAACCACAATAATATGTAATTGACAAAGGATTCACGAGGGTAGGAGGGGGCGGAAAGAGGAGCTGATACCAAGGGCTCAAGTAGAAAAAGTGTTTTGGAAATGTTAATGGCAACATATGTACCAGTGTGCTTAATACAATTGAATGGATTGTCATAAATTTGTAAGAGCGCCCCCAATAACACGATTCAAATAAATAATAAAAAACATAGATTGGTTGAAATGTGGTAGTTAGGTTTTGTGCCAACTTGGCTGGGCCTTTTGGCAGTTAACACCTAGAATTTCCCCCACGACTTGATCTAACACAATGTAATCATAGCCAATCTGTTGTAAGAAAATTAGGGTGGGGAAAAATGAAGAGCTGATGTCAAGGGCTCAAGTAGAAAGCAAATGTTTTGAGAATGATGATAGCAACAAATGTACAAAGGTGCTTGACACAATGGATGGATGTATGGATTGTGGTAAGAATTGTACAAGCCCCCAATAAAATGATTTAAAAAAAGAAAGAAAGAAAATTAGGGTGGATGTAACACCCTGACTCAGGTCACAGCTTTGATGCAATCCATTGAAAATACGGTTCCTTGCAGGAGGTGACCTGCTTCATATATGAGTAGATGCGATGGAAAAGCTTGTTTGCTTTTTGCTGACTCTCAATCCTGCCTCTGGCTCATCCACTTCCTGTCCTTTGGACTGGAGCCAATGGCATGCCATATTGCCTGCTGATCCTAGGAGCTGTCAGTGGCCTATGATCAGACCTGCTGACCTTGAATTCATTCACCTCTGCAGCCACAAGCCTGACCACCTGACCCTGGATTCACTTATTGTTGCAGCCACTAACCAACCTCTCAACTTCCTGGTCTGGAGTCCATCAACCCTTGCAACTACTTGAATCAAGTGAAGCCTCTCGCCTAACATCTGATCGATAGACTTGGAACCTACCCAGGCTTGGACTAGCTTCTACAACTACTGTGTGAGTATATATATATCACATACATGTATATATCACATGCACACACACATATATATATAATGCACATACATATATAAGCTTCACTGGTTTTGCTTCTCTAGAAAACCCAGCCTACGACAAAGTATAATTTATATACCCTAGAGTTCACCCATTTAAGTTCACCCATTTCATACCCTATAATTTCCCTCATTCTCACTAACCCTCAACTTTACCAAGCATGATGGTCGTCTGCTATTCAACCTTGTAAGGAACTACTAGGCCCTTTGAAGGTACAGTGTATTTACTAATTGAACAACATAGCATCTATTGAATTCCAGAACACTTCCATCACACACACACACAAAGCCCCATACACATGATTACCCAGTCCCCACTCTCCTCCCACCCCAAGCTCCTGGCACCCATCCATCCACCTTCTACCTCTATGCAGGCATTTCTTATCAATGGAACCAGGAAATCCGTGACCTTTGAGGTCTGGCTTCTCTCCCTCAGCATGAGGATTTCAAGGCTCATCCACCTTGTAGCCCAAGTCAATACTTCACTCCTTTTCATTCCATTGTGTGGATAAAGCCCGTTTTCTTTCATGGATCTCTCAGTTGGTGGGCGGACTTTCGGGGGTCTCCACGTTGGGGTTATTGTCCGTCATGCAACTATGACCATTCCTGTGCAGGTTTGTGAAGACACAGAATTGTTGGGCCCCACGGTTGTTTCCCGTTACTGTGATGCTGGCCCTGATGGGCAAGGGCAGCACCGCCCGTCACCCTGACCTTGCCACCTTCACTGTCTGTGGGGTGTGTGAGCTGACGGTTGGGTTCACCCATCTCAGTGAGGGCTTTCCTCATTTTCCCTAATGCCCCACTTTACCAAGCAGGATGGCAGTCTGCTGCTACACCTCGTGAGGACCAACCGGGCTCTTTTCCAATGTGCTGGCCCATTTTCCATCACCCTGGTGGTGCGGTGCTTAAGTGCTTGATTGTTCGAACCCACTAGTCCATCTGCTCAATGGGAAAAAGGTGTGACAACTGGTTTCCATGCAGTCTTAGGAACCCTACGGGACTGTTCTGTGCTGAGTCTCACAGGTGCAATGCTGCATGGAAGATTAGATACAGGATAGCTCCATGTAGATACTGTTAAAAAAAATAGATCAAACTCAAATATTATGACTACATACACACCCCACCTAATTCACACACACTCCAAAAAACCAATTAGCACAGAACTCAGGGTCTGGGTGACCTCTGAGCGGAGTCTCACTCACTGCCAGCAAGTTGATGCCAACTCAGAGCAACGCTATAGGACAGGGTAGAACTCAGAGCA